TCGGCCCGAATCAGTTTTCTAAAGTGTTTTTGAAAAATCACATACCCTGCCTTTAATTGTTAATATAATAGTAAGTACATGTAACATGTGTAACAAGGACACCTTAAAATAAAGTGTTACCGAAATCTTCTAAAATATTTATATCTTATCCAGTTTTTAAATCTGTCTTTTCTTTGCTACTCAGGTTGCTTGGGAAACATTGCAGGATGAGTTTGCCCGCTTTATGGCAGAATACAAAGGGAAAGACCAGGATGACATCTTTGATAAGCTGAAGGAAGCTGTCAAGGATGAAAGCATCAAACGACACAAGTGGAATGAAAGAGCCATGGACAGCTTGGTAAATATAATATAATTACCAGAAATAGTAGATTATTTTGCTAATGCAGCACATAGGGGTTTCTTGAGTGTTGTTGGTAAATGTTACTTATGTATGTGCGGTATAGAGAGTGATTCAACACAACGCTCTAGAGGATCGTTCTATCACAGACAAGCCCCAGTGGGATGCCGCTATTCAGTTCATGGAGGAAACACTGCAGTCTCGCCTTAAAGACAGTATGTCTACCCCTCATAAAGCCCTTTCTTGTCTGTCAGTCTATGGAGTGTGTGACTCATCTTCCTGTGTTGCAGCTGACTCAGTAATAGCAGATATGGTGGGGCCAGACTGGAAGCAGAGGTGGTTGAGCTGGAAAAATCGAACACCAGAGCAGGTTGTACAGACAACACTATAAATTTTCTTTTTTTTAAAAATGATTTTGGAGCCATATTTTAGTGTCCGAGTATGTGGTATTATTACATGTAGGTGCTAGTGATAAGAAAGTCTACATAATTTTGTTCCCTAACTCTAGCACACCCGTAATGAGACCAAAAACGAGCTGGAGCGTCTGTTGAAGCTGCATGAGGATCACACAGCCTACCTGGCCAATGATGAGGTCACTACAGTGCGCAAAAACCTGGAGGCCCGAGGAGTGGAAGTGGACCCCGTACTGGTAAGTGAGACGCTTGGAGAGAATATCTAACATAATGAGATTTTATGTTTTTTCACTAATTTTAACTGATGTCTTTTCGTAGATCAAGGACACGTGGCACCAACTCTATCGACGTCATTTCCTGCAGAAAGCGTTATTACATTGTAATCTCTGCCGGCGAGGTTTCTACTACTACCAGAGGCACTTTGTAGACTCTGAGGTAAAGAAGAAGCCTTTTTAGTCAAATTTACTAAAAAATAATAATTAGAGCTTCCAAAGTTTTCACTTTTGGGAATAATTATATGCTTTATGGGAATACATTTATTTTATTTATTTAAATATGATTTTGTTTGGAGATAAAAAAATGATAAAATTAAGAATTTTAAAGAAAAAAAAATGCTAAAATTAATAAGTAAAATAAATGTAATGCTATGTAACATTTCAATATTCTCAGCTGTGGAATGACTGCAATTAGTGTCCATATTCAATACTTTATTAACAGGGAATTTATTAATAAAGGCAAACCAGATATTAAACATAACCAAAACATAACATTCCGTAACTAAAGAAAAGTAATTTGCATTCATTGTATAATATAATCTTTTGGCCAAAGACTGTAATAGCTGTTTATTTTTTTGTTAGGTCATGTTAAAAAGTTCTATTTAGCTAATGGTTTGACTTATTTCTCTGTGTTCCAGCTTGAGTGCAATGATGTGGTTCTGTTCTGGAGGATCCAGAGGATGTTGGCCATCACAGCCAATACTCTTAGACAACAGCTCACTAATACAGAGGGTATGTCTGTGGGTTCTCATTACCAAGCAAGCTTTCCTGCAAACAAGTCTTCAGTTCTGGTTACTTACTAAATCATCTCTTATTACAAATTAAACAGGCTTCAGTTGGAGGAAACAGTGACTGAGACTACTTGGTATCATTACGTTCCACGTTCAAACAACACAAATAAGTATGTTTTTTTTTTTTTTTTTAACGGTTCTCAAGTCTTCAGTTCTGGTTGCTTAGCACAAATCTCATATCATAAATGAAACAGGCTTCAGTGGGAGGGAACAGTGACTGAGACCACTATCATTACGTTCCACGTTCAAACAACACAAATCGGTGAATTTTAAAAATGTTTTTGTACAGTGCGGCGCTTGGAGAAGAACGTTAAAGAAGTATTAGAGGACTTTGGAGAAGATACTGAGAAGAAAGTCCAGCTGATCACAGGCAGGAGGGTTCAGTTGGCAGAAGACCTCAGTAAGTCTATCCTCTTGCTTTTTCCTGATTTAGCCTGTGAAACAGCAGCAAGGCAGGGCAACCATCAGAGGGCAGTGTTGTTTTGCACTTGAGTACTTTCATGTTATCTGCAAAAGATAATTTATTCAATTAACAAATTTCACTCCAGCATTACATTTACATTTTTTATGTTATGTTTATAAAATTATATAATATTTGATTTTTTTTGAAAACTTTGGATGTGTATTTTTCATTATTTTTTTAGTGCAACGATTCAGTTCATTGATTTTTTATTAATTAATTTATTTGTATTTTTTTATTGTCGTACATTGAGTCAGAATGGTTAATCAAATCAGCTTTTTCTAAGCATTTCCTCACATTTGATTTCTAAAAGTTTTTTTTTAAAGTGCCTAACCCATTTGTACTTAATTGTCAGGTGTCTGCGGTCGTAATTCCGCTGCTTCCAGTGCTTTTTCCGTTGTAACTTCTTATTCAATTTAAGTGATAATACTTCTGAATAGGGTACGGATAGCTTTCCACGCTCTCTTCACTCTTGCACTCCCTCTTATTTTTTTTCCTGTTCCTTCCTCTGCTGAGGCTTGAACCCTTAATTGCCCTTCACAGTGTGGGAGAGCTCCTGGCTGCACACTGGCTGCTGTCTGTCATGTCTTCAGCCCTGGTTACTGTTAAACACTCTGTTGATTAAAGCAGCAATTTGTGGAGGCACGACTGACATGCTCAGACTTGATCTGGTGCAGACACACGACTCGCACACACGTTTTGTCATTACTGTGATAACAGAGAGTGAGGTAATGGCACTGCCGCCCAGGTTAGTGTGTGCTTAGACACAATGGTCAATCTGCCTATACAGTGTCTTGAGTCATAAAGAGCCTCTCTGCCTTTTGCAAGAAGAATTTATTTGCGTATATAAGAGGTCTCTCTCTAAATGCTTACTGTCTCTTTTGAACAGTTTGACTAGCTTAAGTGTCTTTGCAGTGGACCGGAAAAAGCATGACTGAAGACATATTCACAGATGTTTTGATGTGCAGTTTTATATATTCTGCCTGTTTAAAGGCCTGTTCGCACCAAGGACTGTAACAAACTTTAACTATAAAGTTTTGATAATCATTCTAATGCTATGAGAATAGGAAAGTCCACACCATAACTACAATGTTAATGGCACAGAGAAATGATATTGTTGTAATCAAGCTACTGAATGATAAATACATTGACAGCAAATCAGAATCCACATAACAGTAGTTTGTGCTTATAATAAACAATATTATTGTGCGTTGGAGTGGATGCTAATATAGTTATTGTTTTAGTTATCTTTATAATTATAGTTCTTGGTATGAACAGGTCTTAAGTCTTTAGGACACAATCTTTTAGGACAGAGTTGGACCAGATTTTAACCAGTAAGAAGTACTTCATCTGTTTTGACTGCTTTTGTACCTGCCTGAATACTGTATAAAGACCAGGATGTTGGGCTTTTTTGGTCCCGTGAGCATGTCCACTAGTCTTAGATGTCTGACCCTCCACTGTTTAAGCCTGGTGCTTGGCGTTGGGTAACCCTTAGAGTGGATTCCTGTGCTGTAAAGCATGACGTTGCCTGGTGGACAACCAGCACTTAGGGAAAACACAAGCATGACCTCCCAAGAAGTGGCTGTTGTGCTAATAAAAGCAAGTCTGGGCATGCATGCATGCATCAGTGCCCTAGTGGTTGCCACTGCACAAAACACATGGTCATTCTATTAAGGTGCAGTCAGTCTTTATGAGTGAGAGAGGGCTGTAGTGACAGGTCTTGGATTGTTAATAATGGTTGCCATGATATGAAAAACAATTGCTGTTTTATGATAAATTTTCCATAATAAAAGAAAAGTAATTTGCACTCTTTGTATAATAGAATCTTTCAGCCAAAGAAAATGTTGTGCTTCTGTAATTTAAACAAACACACAATTTCTGTAAAATGTAATAGCAGTTTGTTTTATTGTTGGGTCATGTTAAAAGGGTCTATTTACCTAATGGTTTCACTTATTTCTCTGTATTCCAGCTTGAGTGCAATGATGTGGTTCTATTCTGGAGGATCCAGAGGATGCTGGCTATCACAGCCAATACTCTTAGACAACAGCTCACTAATACAGAAGGTACGTCTGTGGGTTCTCAAGTCTTCAGTTCTGGTTGCTTAGCACAAATCTCATATCATAAATGAAACAGGCTTCAGTGGGAGGGAACAGTGACTGAGACCACTATCATTACGTTCCACGTTCAAACAACACAAATCGGTGAATTTTAAAAATGTTTTTGTACAGTGCGGCGCTTAGAGAAGAACGTTAAAGAAGTATTAGAGGACTTTGGAGAGGATACTGAGAAGAAAGTCCAGCTGATCACAGGCAGGAGGGTTCAGTTGGCAGAAGACCTCAGTAAGTCTATCCTCTTGCTTTTTCCTGATTTAGCCTGTGAAACAGCAGCAAGGCAGGGCAACCATCAGAGGGCAGTGTTGTTTTGCACTTGAGTACTTTCATGTTATCTGCAAAAGATAATTTATTCAATTAACAAATTTCACTCCAGCATTACATTTACATTTTTTATGTTATGTTTATAAAATTATATAATATTTGATTTTTTTTGAAAACTTTGGATGTGTATTTTTCATTATTTTTTTAGTGCAACGATTCAGTTCATTGATTTTTTATTAATTAATTTATTTGTATTTTTTTATTGTCGTACATTGAGTCAGAATGGTTAATCAAATCAGCTTTTTCTAAGCATTTCCTCACATTTGATTTCTAAAAGTTTTTTTTAAAGTGCCTAACCCATTTGTACTTAATTGTCAGGTGTCTGCGGTCGTAATTCCGCTGCTTCCAGTGCTTTTTCCGTTGTAACTTCTTATTCAATTTAAGTGATAATACTTCTGAATAGGGTACGGATAGCTTTCCACGCTCTCTTCACTCTTGCACTCCCTCTTATTTTTTTTCCTGTTCCTTCCTCTGCTGAGGCTTGAACCCTTAATTGCCCTTCACAGTGTGGGAGAGCTCCTGGCTGCACACTGGCTGCTGTCTGTCATTCATGTCTTCCTGGTTACTGTTAAACACTCTGTTGATTAAAGCAGCAATTTGTGGAGGCACGACTGACATGCTCAGACTTGATCTGGTGCAGACACACGACTCGCACACACGTTCTGTCATTACTGTGATAACAGAGAGTGAGGTAATGGCACTGCCGCCCAGGTTAGTGTGTGCTTAGACACAATGGTCAATCTGCCTATACAGTGTCTTGAGTCATAAAGAGCCTCTCTGCCTTTTGCAAGAAGAATTTATTTGCGTATATAAGAGGTCTCTCTCTAAATGCTTACTGTCTCTTTTGAACAGTTTGACTAGCTTAAGTGTCTTTGCAGTGGACCGGAAAAAGCATGACTGAAGACATATTCACAGATGTTTTGATGTGCAGTTTTATATATTCTGCCTGTTTAAAGGCCTGTTCGCACCAAGGACTGTAACAAACTTTAACTATAAAGTTTTGATAATCATTCTAATGCTATGAGAATAGGAAAGTCCACACCATAACTACAATGTTAATGGCACAGAGAAATGATATTGTTGTAATCAAGCTACTGAATGATAAATACATTGACAGCAAATCAGAATCCACATAACAGTAGTTTGTGCTTATAATAAACAATATTATTGTGCGTTGGAGTGGATGCTAATATAGTTATTGTTTTAGTTATCTTTATAATTATAGTTCTTGGTATGAACAGGTCTTAAGTCTTTAGGACACAATCTTTTAGGACAGAGTTGGACCAGATTTTAACCAGTAAGAAGTACTTCATCTGTTTTGACTGCTTTTGTACCTGCCTGAATACTGTATAAAGACCAGGATGTTGGGCTTTTTTGGTCCCGTGAGCATGTCCACTAGTCTTAGATGTCTGACCCTCCACTGTTTAAGCCTGGTGCTTGGCGTTGGGTAACCCTTAGAGTGGATTCCTGTGCTGTAAAGCATGACGTTGCCTGGTGGACAACCAGCACTTAGGGAAAACACAAGCATGACCTCCCAAGAAGTGGCTGTTGTGCTAATAAAAGCAAGTCTGGGCATGCATGCATGCATCAGTGCCCTAGTGGTTGCCACTGCACAAAACACATGGTCATTCTATTAAGGTGCAGTCAGTCTTTATGAGTGAGAGAGGGCTGTAGTGACAGGTCTTGGATTGTTAATAATGGTTGCCATGATATGAAAAACAATTGCTGTTTTGTTTTTTTTTAAACTAACAATTAGGGCTGGCAAAGTGGTCACTTTTGAGATTAATTAAATGTTAAATGGCATAAATGCCGTTAGCAGATTTCCTAAACTTTTTGCCTTAAAAAAAAATTGTTTTGAGATTAAAAAAAAAAGTTAAATTAATACTTAAAGTATTTTTAAAGTAAAAAATGAAATAAAAATTAATTTAATGCCATTTAATATTTAATTATTTGCATTAGTGGAAAAACCATGCATCACTGTTCAACAGTCAATATTTTTTTAAATACATCATTAACAAGGACAAACATAAATCATGATTTATTGTTTTAATCTATTGACAGGCCTAGACAGACCTAACAGTTTATTGCATTTTGTTAATTAATACACGTTAAGCATAGTTCTAACTGCAATACATATTTTTTTAAGTTCTGAATTGAAGCAGAAACTTTCTTGTTTCTGCTTCAATTGAAGTTGTCAGGCCAGAGATTTGCAAATGTGTTTAGTGTAAGCATACTACATTGTCTGTGTGTATACACAATTTATGCAGTATGGTGTTGTACTAGAGGTGATGTTTTTGTAAGTGCAACGGTTTTGCCACCTTTTTTGGGGGCCACAGTTTCTGCCACATCCTGAAGGGATATGCAAAGAACATGAGTTTGGACAGAATCCTGGCTATTTCCAATTTCTTTACAAATAGCAGGGAGGAATTTGTGGGCCTGTCTGGCCTTGCCGCCTTTCCTGCATGAGGTGGCATCATGTTCCCAGGGTTCCTGGAGCTTTTGATG